TAATTTGAAGATTTATGATCAAGTGCTGTATCATGCCACAAAAGATGCAAGCATCATCCTTTTTTTCTGCTCAAAAAATCTTCAAATTCTTTCGGTATGGTGAATAGCCTGCATTTGTTCTTGAACACTGTCAAACTCCTGTCACGTACGATGTCCTCTACCGTATATTCATTGTTAATCATTCGCCTCTATGTAATCCATTTTTTTATCATTAATAAGTTGAGATAAGTATGATTTTCGTCACACATCAACCAAAGAGTGGTTGTTTTTTTTTTGTTTTTTTTTTTTACGACACGTAGATATACAATGAATATAGGAGTCGTCTTGTTAGATATCCGATTTTATAATTCGACCAGCATACAATCCAATCTTTACCAATACACACCTTAGATTCATCAACAAACATCTGATTCTTCAGATCACTGTCATATGGGTCATCATCCAATGCCTTTTGTTTCTCTTCTAGCCCTTTGTCTAGAATCTATTTTATGTGTGTCACATGATCAGATGTCATTTTTTTTTTAAAAAAAAAAAGCCCATGAGCAAAATAAAATAATTTGCTAATTGCCTTTATGCACTGATCAATGACCTGTTCTCTCTGAGAATAGGCATCAGCCAGTTGTTGAAAAAATTGTGCGCACGCTTTCTCCGAATGTGTATTTGTTGTGTTCATTCTTAGCATAATATTGTCGTCTATTTTCCTGTACTCTTTCATGAGATCTATAAAAATGTACGAGCATAATTGAATGTGAGAAATTATTTGTCCCCGTTTCGAAAAGGAAGCTTGTGCAAGAAAATGAGAAACCATCACACAAATTTCAAAAAAAATCAACCAGCATAAAGTAATAGGACGAGTCGTAACCTTTAAAGTAGGTCAAATTATGACACAAGTTGGGGTTAACCTCCACTTTGTTCATACTTTCCATCTACTTCAAAAGTAACTCCTTCTCCGTGAAATCGCGTCAATAAACAAAAATGTAATTTCGACCAAAAATTTGATGAGCGGTGAGTTTTTTGTGTTTTTTTTTCCATCTATTATACACTCTAAATCACATGATGATATGGGTCACGTGTCGAATTTGGAAAAATAAAATAAAAATCTTTAATAATAATGTTGATTTTCTTATATTGAATACAAGTCCTAACTCAATTTGATCACAAACTTTACAATATCTATATGTTGAGAAAAGAAAGGAATAAATAGTGTAGTTTTGCGCAATTCTATTTAATCTTTTTCAATGTATGCGATGCTCCAACGATGCGATCATTCAAATTATTGGTCTTGTCAGAGACACGATCGAGAACCACGTTTTGCTTCTTAATTTCATCACCAGACGCGACAGCCTAATTGGAAAAAATATTTTCACGTAAATAATTATCCTTTTGGATGTAGAAACTGAATAATATAAACAATTGCTACCATTGCGTGCAATCTGGTCAATCCGTTAGAGAGAGCATCCAAGTTATTGTCCAATTGATCCTCTAGCGCATCATCTTCTTCGTCGGCTTCGAACTGGAATTTACTTCGGTTAGATGAAGTTGTGCTTTGAGAGTATTTGCTTTGTGCCTTTTCTTGCTTAATAGCATTGTTGACCCTCTGTTGTGTTTCCCAATTGGCTGCTCTCACATTATCTCTGCTGGCCCTTTGTTCTTCCTGCAAAGCTTGAAGACGTGCTAATTCCGCTGCCTCTCGCTTCTTCTTGGTAAATGGATTGCTTATGTCAAAACCAAACATGGATCCATTGACCTTTTAAATTTATTTTGTTTTATGCAAAAGTTAGCAAATAGTCTGACAGGAATTGT